GCTCTTCTGGGATTATAATGAGTTATCATCCTTCGAATGAACACATCGAATTGCCCTTTCATCGTAGTTGCTCGTGCCATCAACCATTTGCAATACTGCACATGCTCTGCATTCTCCGATGATCGCAACTCCTCATACGAAAGCCGCTCAGATGCCACCTTGCCACATGTCATCAAGGTTGCTCCCCATGTCGGCAAATCTGCGACGCCTTCTGGAAAGGTGATGGTCACCATCTTTTCCCCAAGCTCCGGCGCTGGTGGCACAGGGATTGAAGCATAGGTGCCGATGCCCCTTGCCTTCGGCCTGGATTCAATCTCATCGCCACGACGCTTCGGTGCATCCGTCATAGCCCCAAGCTCAGCAGACGATGAACCCTTTCCCATAGATGCTTTGGCAACAAGCTCAAACTGATCATCAGCTGCCATGGCTCGCACACTAACCGATGAGTGTTCTGCTGCAACCTTCAAACAAACCAACCGGAAAGACCCCAAAAGGAACCTCACCAGTCACTGCCACGCGATCAAACTCGCCAGTGCCCGATCACACAAGCTTGAGCGAGTATGTCCCACGCTCTTGGCTTTGCCAAACAAACAAAACTGTCCTTCGATCCTTCGATCCTTCGACTTCCACTTTGTGAAGTACGCCAATGACAAAAGCTTATCGCATTATTAAAGCAAAGCAACACAAGCACCACAAGAAACCATACATGTATACACATACAAACGTACACAAAGCTTATTATGCCTCTTATGTGTGTGTGGATCACACCTGTGAATGCCATGTCTTAAAACATGCATACATCTACGATGCGCCACAAAATCGACAGTGCCATGCTTTGGACACTACTAAGTGCCTGGCCTAAGGCCAATCACGATGCTAGGTCCCTAACGTTCTAAGGTTCCAACTTCTAAATCTAGGATCCACGCGCTAGGGGCCCAACTGCTAAGCTGGTGACACTCACGTTGAATGATCCCTCAGGGATCCTTCCTTGCCTGTGTTACTGCTCTTAGGATCGCCCTTGCCAACTGTTTCGAATACGCTGCTGTCCTTGTGTAGTCCACGTCATCCATTGGTGCATGTTCCACACATGTGCAAGTTCCGAACCGTCGATACAGCGATTCTGAGAAACCCTTGCTTGTCGACACGAACGCCAAGGCTTTCCCAACGGGCAAGTTGTTCCTACTCACAACACCAGTTTGACACAAGTACACTTTACATACCTGGCTCAAACCCAAGCTTTGCAACACCGATGTGGTCAGTTCGCGTTTCCATATGTTGTTACGCCACGGCAACTCAAAGCTTCGTGAATCACACTGTTCCATGATGACTGGCAACGCTTTCATGATTGATTCCCATTCCACATCACTCGCTGTTGGCTCCTTGTCTGCGTTGAATCC